CTGTCCTGGCTAACACGGTGAAACCCCATCTCCACAGAAAATACAAAAAACTAGCTAGGTGTGGTGGCGCCTGTAATCCCAGCTACATGGGAGGCTGAGGCAGGAGAATCACTTGAACCCAGGAGGCAGAGGTTGCAGTGAGCCGAGATCACACCACTGCACTCCAGCCTGGGTGACAAGAGCGAGACTCCATCTCAAAAATAAAAATAAATAAATAAATAGAAGGAGAAGGAGGAGGAGGAGGAGGAGGAGGAGGAGGAGGAGGAGGAGGAGGAGGAGGAGGAGGAGGAGGAGAAGAAGAAGAAAGATAGTGAGATACCCTGCAGGAGAGACCAGGGCCAGAAGGGTGGAGGCCTCTCAGGACAAGGGAAGAGAGAGGAAGCTCCAGAGTGGGGTGAGGGTGCTGGTTCCTGTATTCATTCAGCTGTCTTGGGATGAGGGGAACAGCTGGGAGGGTCAAGGGAGAGTGGCAGTACCTGCAGCTGGTGACTGGGGGAGTCTAGGCCTGGGATGTGGCCCCTGCTGCAAGTGACCAGCACCTTGAATGAGATAGTTGCAGTACGTACTGTGGGGATGCGGGATTCCCAAGGGCTGGGGGTTGGGGAGGAGCTGATGCCTATGCAGCAGCCATGGCTGCAGTAGCACTGGGCTGGGAAGCTGTCCCTGCATCAGCCCTTTTCCCCGCGTCGAAGCCTTCTCTCCGTGGGTGGAAAGCCTAGAGTGGCTGTTGCAGCAGGGGCTCGTGAGGGCGATGCTGTCCCAGGAAGCCCATGCATTCTTCTCTGGGGATGGGCTTGGGGTGTAATGAGAGATTCTGGGTTTGGACCCCTTGGGGAGTTGACTCCCCTTCATTCCTGTCGCCCCCAGATGATTTACCTGCCTGGACGGCAAGATGATGGCTGCACTAGCCCCCATTCTCTGGTATGTGTCACATACACTTTGGTGTAAACGTCACTATGTAACCTCAAGAATAGTGGCACTTGTTGCTTTGTCCTTAACATACAGGCTTTGCTTCTATTTAAGAGAATTTCCATCAGCAGGTGAAGAGGCAGGGAATAGTGCAAGTAATGGCAGCCAGCGTCTGTCAGCATGTGCACCACTCCAGGTCCTCTGCTGAGTGCGCGTGGAATCTTTGAAAAATTCCCAGCAGGAAGGACGTACTCTTAGCCTTGCGGGCTGGCCAATGTGGCTTATTTGCCAAAGGCTGGTGACTTGTATATACTCCCACAGCTAATAACTGGTGGCATTTCACGCCTGGCCACTATGCAGTACTGCCTCCCAGTTTCGGATGCCATTTTAGATTCTAGAGCCTCTGAGGCAAGTGATTTGTCCATCAACCCAATGGCCTGGCTATGCTGGTGACTCTCTGCTTGGGCACTGCCCAAGGGGAGCAGAACAGAGGCTCTGAGAGCTGCCCCCTTTCCCTGGTGGCCAGAGCAAAATGAGGGCAGAGGAAAGGGAGCTTGGAAAAGGGGGGCTAGGGGGAGGCAGGAGGCCCACCCCCAGCTAGACAGTGGGCCAGGAAGCCCTTGAGAAAGATGGAGGTCCCTCTTGTTTTTGCTGGAAGGGCAAGTGTGGAAGGTCAGCTCCATTTCATCCCCCCGGGACCTAAGTGACTTCTAGTGGGAGTGCGTATTCAGCATGGAGCATAGGTGCCCACAGAGCACCTGTTGGCTGAGGCCTGGGGCTGGGGGGCGGGGGGCCTGGAGAGTGCGATTATGGCCCCTGGGAAGGCAGGGTTCTCTGGATACTGCTTGTACCCTGGCCTCAGAGGCATTGGCTACCACCACTGTTTCTTTCTTTCTGTCCTCCATGCAAACTCAGGTCAGTTATATCAGAGTCCTTCATGGGGCCCCTGAACTTGCCCACCAGGTCTCCTCTTGCCCTTCACCTCCTGCTGTACCTACAAGGTCTCCCCAGTTCTTACCTGCCCATACTAATGAACGCAGCCCCAGGATGGTCAGAATGTTCCCAGGGACCCTGACAGCAGGGGTGCTCTCATGACTGAGGGCGTTATACCAGGGAGAGGGGGCCAGGAGAGACTTCCCAGAGAGCTGGTTGGGGGTTATGAAAGTGGCCTCATGGCTGAGTGCGGTGGCTCACGCCTGTAATCCCAGCACTTTGGAAGCCTGAGGCAGGCAGATTGCTTGAGGTTGGGAATTTGAGACCAGCCTGACCAACATGGTGAAACTCTGTCTCTACTAAAAATACAAAAAATTATCCGGGCGTGGTGGCACATGCCTGTAGTCCCAGCTACTCAGGAGGCTGAGGCACAAGAATCACTTGAACCCAGGAGGCTCAGATTGCACCTTTGCACTCCAGCTTAGGTGACAGAGCAAGATTCTGTCTCAAAAAAACAAAACAAAACAAAACAAAAATGGCCAGGTGGGAGCAGCAGGCTCCAGGGAAGGGGTGCATCCTGGGAAAGAGCAGGGAGGCGGCTGCTGGAGGGGTTGGGAGGGAAGGGGCAGCCCCCATCCTCATCTCCATCCTCTGCACACTGGGGATACGAGGCTTCTTACTTGGGGTACTTAAGCCTAGACCAGATGTGGTTCTTGCATCTTAGGGAGTGACATTAGGGTGGGGGAAGGGGACCAAAATGGCCACGCCTCTGCTGTCTCTTGGGGCAGATTTGTGGTGTCCTGGGATTTGTGGTGGCTTCTAGGGATTCCCTGCTGCCAATAAGTGGTCCAGCCATGTTACAGGATTGGGCGCCTGGCTGGGATGGCCTTTGTGCTTTAGTGTTGAGGCACTTCCTGTTTCTGTCTGAGCTCCTTGTCAACATACTGGTCTGGGCACGTAGGAGTCGGGGGCATGCGGGAGGTGGTGGCCAAGGGGAGAGGCGGGCAATTGGAGGGGGTACCAGGCTAGACTGTGTTGCTCTGCCTCCTCTTGGGACCCCAAGCTGGATGGAGCCCAAGTCCTTGGGCAGCACATGGTCCTCTGCTTCACAGGACCCACACTGTATCCATCCTGTAAAATCCACTTTTGCTCAGTTTTAGGGAGAGGGCTCTGAATTGACCTTTGGTCTTTGCAGACTCTCAGGGACCATCTGGAGTTCCAGCCAGAATCTGCGTCTGGCAGCGTGGGAGTGGGGCAGGGGCCTGCACTGGGGTGACTTAGAGAGCAGTTATTCCATCTCATGTGGTAATAAACATTGTGGACTCCTGATCACATCCTGGGGTTTAAGACTCTGGCCAAGCAAGTCAACTCCACAGCTTTGTGTGTGTCTGGGAGGGCCTGGTGTGGGACCCACCGGTCTGTGGCCCCGTCCCCTCCTCTGCCATTTCTCACTCACATCTTGGTCCCTCTGGTAACTATCTCTTCCCTCTGAGGACGGATGGAGCCTGATTTGAATGAGGGGTAAGGGTCTTGTGAGGACGAGGACATGGGTTGGGAGTGTGGTTGTGTGTGTGTGCGCGCGCGCGCGCGTGAGGTGGGAATGCCCTATCTGAGAAGGTAGTGGAGGAGGGAGGATTGAATTCGGAGGCTCCCTGGTTTCCACTGCGGTGCATAGCGCCCCCTGCTGCCCACACGGGAAACAGCAGCTCCAGTTTCCCACAGCGGTCCCCTCCCCTCTGCAGGTCGGGCTCCCACCCTCTTGGAGACGCCTCTGAAGCAGCGTAGTCCTTCCCTGTTGCTTGTGTTTCCTTGGGGGTCTCCAGGTCTCTTGGTGGGGTCTGGCCCCTGGAGATGTGTGGCCGAGTGGAGGATGGGGCCCTTCAGCGGCCATGATCTGGACCCCTACGTCATGGGGAGTTTTGAGGGATTGAGCCCACTTTAGCTTGGGCCATAAAACCACCATGGTAAGAAGTGTCAAACTTTGGGAGAAAAATAAAAATATATAAATATATTTAGAAAAATCCACCATGGGGGCCTACAAGCTCCTGAGTCAGGCCCTGCCAATACTCCAGTGACCAGTATGGTTACTGAAGGGCATGGAGGACCGTCCCGTGGAAAGAGGTTTGGACATGGAGCAAGGACACTGTTGACCTGGAGATGTGGGTGGTGGGTGAGTACAGATGGAGCATCTTCCTGTGCCTTGGAAAGGGGCAAGGTGGGTTCCAGCAGCCCCCAGAGCTTCTGCTGGGTGGCTTTTGGAAGAAGCGGCTCTCCATTCTACCGGGGACATCTGCAGAGAGGGTGGGCAAGGAATAAGATATTCCGTTCAACTCGGAGTTCCTTTTTTTTAAATTTTCTATTCCAGATTCATTCCAGAGTGTGTGGTAGGATCAGTATCGCAAGCCTAGTTCTTGGCCAGAGCCCTAGTGACTGTCTTGTGTGCGTGGGGGGCCCAGCCATTGCAGGAAGAGGGGGCAAGAGTCTTCATCTGATGAGGGCCAGGGACTTTCCAACTCCCTCAACCCTCCCCCCAGGCTCTGTTCCTGCCCTCGAATTGAGCCCTCTTCTCTCTGACACTTGCCCCTCTTGGGACTTTTATTCTGAAGGCCTCTGGAGGTGGGGAGAAGGCCAGAGGCTGAAGCTGGCTTAGACCCTGAGCCAGCTCCACCCTTTTGGGCTGTTTTCCAAGGCAGTGACTCTGGGACCCTTGCTGTCCTCAGCTCTCCTCTTTATCCCCTGTCTCCAGCCTTGCTGGCCTTTGAGCAGAAGGTCCCTATAGCCAGGTCTGCTGGGCTTTTCCCTCCTGTGCCTCATACCCCTGTATCCCTGTCTTTTATTCCTTGACCTCGAATCCTTCATCTACTTCGTTTTTAAGCTTTTTCTGGCTTTCTTGCTGCCTGCCCTTCCCACAGCAGACACGGAGGCCAGGTCACCATTTAGAAGCTCCCCGCCTCCCCCAGCATTGGACAAAGGTCTTACCCCATCCCATCCCTCTTTCCCAACACATAGGATGGAAGTGTCAAATAGCCAGATGCCTTCAGATGTCAGAACTGTGGAGTCTCTTGTACCCTGCGCAGGTGGGGCTGTGTCTTGAGCCTGGTTTTGTTGAGCACATGAAGCTTTCTCAAGACTAAGGACAAAGAAATGGACAAAAAGACTCTGCCAGTAGCTCCTGTTTAAACTCTTGAAACCCAGTCACAGTTTTCCAGAAGTCCATCAGGATACAATTTTCACTAATCACCAAATGCCCAAAGCTTAGTTCTTTCTTAGAAGGAAAAGAAGAGCTCAAATGGACAGGAGAGAGTAGGGATTGGTTGTTCTCAGGGGCCCCTTCCCTCTGCCTGCTTCTTTCATCCAGGAGGCCAGGACTTGATCTGAAGTGAGGTCACTATTGGGCAGTGGAGTGTGAGAAAGGACTTTGGCCTGGGGGCTGCAAGTTACATATTAACACAGGGAGGGGTAAGAAGGGACCCAGTGAGGGGAGGTGGCCGGAGGAAGGGACAGCTGACCTGGCCTAATCTGGGCTTGAAGGGGGCATGCCAGGAGGGTCTGTGGGCTGGGCACTGTCTGGAGACGCTCGGCCCCTCTCCGGCTATCTGACCTTCCTGAAGACCTGCTCGCACACTGCATCCCTTGCAGTCAGTTCCTGGGGAGAGAGGGGAAATGAGGAGGAGAGAGAAAAGGGCTTTTGCCAGCCAGAGCCCCTTTCTCAAGGTCCTTGACCTCCATTTACTCCTTCCGGATACAGCAGCTCGAGTGTTTGATAAATGGGCAATTGTATCACTGTTCCACATCCTCAACTTTCCACCCCACAGGAAGGAGGGTGGCTGGAGCAGGGGATGTGAAGTGGCTGAAACCTCCATCTCTCCAGTGATGATTTATGGGCATTCATCTGACTTGTAGCCAGGGCCCACCTTGGCCACACTGTTTCTTCCTCTCCCCACTCCTCCCGATGCTTTTGTTTTCCCTCCTTGGTCACTTCCTCGGATGGGGAGTTGGGCTGAGCTGGGGGTGGAGTTGTAGACCTCTCTGATTTGGACAGGGGATGCCTCCTAGCTGAAGGCCCTTCTCCCAGATGCCCAGCCCCCACCCCATTTACCAGATACAGCATCTCTCCCTCCAGCCAGTGTCTCCAGCCCCGGTTGGGGACCTCCCCTTTCTGCACACACACCAGCTGCTCCTCCTCCCAGGTTACTATGGTCTGTAGGGGAAAGAGGGAATAAAGAAAGGTTGGGAGGCAGGACACCCAAAATGCTTCCCAGCTCACTCTGACTGGGCTCCCCTTTTTACTCTGCAGCAGATACTGTTCGCTCCAGCCCCTCCTGAGGCTGAGCGAGAAGGCTGCTCTGATTCAGCAGGACTCTCTTTTCCCACTTTTTTTTTTTTTTTTTTTGAGACAAAGTCTTGCTTTGTTGCTTTGTCACTCAGGCTGGAGTGCAGTGGCAGGATCTCGGCTCACTGCAACCTCCGCCTCCTGGGTTCAAGTGAGTCCCATGCCTCAACCACCTGAGTAGCTGGGATTACAGGTATGCAGCACCATGCCTGGCTAATTTTTGTATTTTTAGTAGAGACAAGATTTCTCCATGTTGGCCAGGCTGGGCTCGAACTCCTGAGTTCAGTGATCCACCCACCAGGCTTCCTAAAGTGCTGTGACTATATTCGTGAGACATCACGCCCAGGTTCCCACTCCTAAGGGCCACCGAGGGGGCCCAAAGTTCTCTACAGTGATCTTGGGAAAGAGCAGGAGTGGCAGCAGGATAAGTAGAGGTGAAATTGGGGAGGGCGTTGATGAAGAGTAGAGACTTCTTCCTCTGGATACCTCTGGCTGACCTACAGGGACTTTTGGGAAAAAAGAGAGATTGGTTGGGAGTCCTAACCAGGTAATCTCATTTCTCCTCTTTCTCAGTTTCAAGGACAGTTGAAGTATCCTTAGAAATAAAGGGTCAGCCCCCGTGGGCCTGGGCATCCCAATCAACCTTTATTGAGTTCTCCCAAAGCTTAGGCCCCAAACAGGGAGCTCAGAGTATTGCAGAGAGAGAGGATCAGTAAATAGGTAACTGTGACACCAGGCAAGAGTGAGGGACGGGAGTGGGGTGGGCAGAGTGAAATCTTTAAGGAAGTTAGGAGTTAATTAGATTGGAGAGAATGGGAAATTTCTAGCAAGGAAAGAAACAGCTAGAAATAGCAGTAAAAGAGAAGGGCAATTAGTTCTGAAGGGCTCTAACCTACAGTGTATGCAGGCAACTGAAGAGCTGATTCACAGAGACCTGTGTATGCTGAGCTGAGTTTAATAGATAGTGTAATGTAATAGGTCATCACTGACACGGTGTTAGTCAGAGAGTGATGTGGTCACGTTTATATTTTAGGTAGACCCTGTGGCTATTGCATGCGGATTAGAGGAGGGTTAAGACTGAGAACTAGCTGGGTGGAGAGGCTTACGCCCATAATCCCAGCATTTGGGAAGCCGAGGTGGGAGAGTCACTTGAAGTCAAGAGTTTGAGACCAGCCTGGGCAACACATGAGACCCCATCTATACCAAAAAATACTAATTTTGGGCACCAGATGAGAAATGAAGGACGGAATTAGGGTGGTGATAGAGGAAGGTTAGGAGGAAACACAGGAGAGCCATTTAAAAGACTGATGCTCAACAGAAATAAAATGGGTCTGGAGCCCTATTAGGAAAGGAAAGAGAAATAGGGGAAATTAATGTAAAGAATATGTTTTAGTTAACCGAAAATATTCAAAATATTATGATTTCAGCATAAGACCAATACAAACATTTCTGACATGCTTTATGTTCTTTTTATTTGGCGTTGTCTGAAAGTCCACTTACGGCAGAGGTGGATTTGGACTAGTTACATTTCACGTGTTCGACGGCCATCTGAAATTAGCGGCTGCCACACTGCGTATGGCAGAAAAGATACAAAGATTTCTTGCCCAATGGGTGTGGGGTGGTGTGTGTGTGTGTGTGTGTGTGTGTGAGTGTGTTGGGAGCCCAGAAGTAAGGAAACAAGAGATATTCACCATGACTCTCAGGTCTCTGTCCTGGCTGGTTATTGCAATTAGTAGCAATAGTAGACATAAAAGTGGAATAGGTTTGGATAGGAAGACAGGGAATTTGAGTATGACGCTGGGCATTCAAATGGAAATTGGTTCCAGGACCCCCACCCTACAAATCTGCTGAGTATGCTGAATAAAATGCCTTAGTATCTGTACAGAACCTATGTATATCCTCCTGTATACTTTATTATTATTATTATTTTGAGACAGTGTCTTGCTCTGTCACCTAGGCTAGAGTGCAATGGCATGATCTTGGCTCACTGCAACCTCAGGCTCCCGGGTTCAAGCAATTATCTTGCCTCAGCCTCCACAGTAGCTGGGGTTACAGGTTTGCCACACCACATCCGGCTAATTTTTGTATTTTTAGTACACCATGTTGGCCAGGCTGGTCTTGAACTCCTGACCTCAAGTGATCGTCTGCCTCAGCCTCCCAAAGTGCTGGGATTATGGGTGTGATCCACCACACCCAGCCTTTTCCCATATGCTTTAAATCATCTCTAGATTACTAATAATACCTAATGCAATGTAAAGGCTCTGTAAGTAGTTGTTATACTTTATTGTTTTTTATTTGTATCATTTTGTATTTTTTTAATTTTTATTTTTCCCAAATATTTTCCATTTGCAGTTGGCTGAAGCTGTGGATGCAGAACGCATGAATATGGAGGGCCAACTGCACTGCAGGCAGTTGAAAACATTGCCTTGGAGCTCAGAAGATGGCTCTGGCTGGAGAATACGTGCCAAGGGCGGCCTATAGATGGAAGCAGAAGGCATGGCTGTAGATGGTTTAGCCTATGGATCGTATGCAGACAAAAGGGACAAGACATTAAGAACAAAACTCTGGGGCGGGGGAGGAACTCCAGTTTAAAGGATTAATAGGAGGACTAGGATCTGTAAAGGAGACAAGGAGTCCGGGCGCAGCGGCTCACGCCTGTAATCCTAGCACTTTGGGAGGCCAAGGTGGGTGGATCACCTGAGGTCAGGAGTTCAAGACCAGCCTGGCCATCATGGTGAAACCCCATCTTAAAAAAAAAAAAAAAAAAAAAAAAGGAGACAAGAAGAAATATGTATGAAGTAGAAAGAAATGCAGGAGAGTGAAGTTAGTGAAGCTTAAGTAAAAGTGACTCTGGGTGACCAACAGTGTTACAGGCTGGAGGGTGAGCAAATGTTTGCTCTTCGGTCTGGGTTGGCCTGTTCTTTGCCCTTTCAGCTGGTGATAAGAGGGGGCAGGGAAGAAGTAGGAGAGAGACAGGGAGCACCAGGACCTGTTAGTTCCGGAGACTGGTATCCTGGGGGCCGCACTCCCTGCTCTGGCTCGGGGAGGTCACTTGGTTTTGCCCCATATTGTTAGGAGTCTCCTGTGATCCCTCCTCTGGCTGCCCCCTAGCCAGGGCAAACGTACCTGGCATTTTCGTCCATCGACGCTCTTGAGGTCCTCCTCAAACTCCTCTCCCACGGTGAACTGCACAGTGTAATTTCGGAAGGTGCTGAGTGTCCTCACTGTCATGTGGTTGCCCTGGTGGTCGATCTCCTTGTCGGGCTTCAGCAGCCCCGCGATCTTCCGCAGAGCCAGGCTGATGTCTGTGGGGGCTGCCTGTTAGCAGGGGTGCTGCCAGCCAGCCAGGAGCTCCCCTGCCTGCAGCAGCCCCTCAGGGCTGTAAGTTTCCCTTCTTTGGATTTGGGACTGTGAATTCACCCCCTCCTAGCAATGCCTGGTTAGAAAGGGATCCCAGGTCGGGCACCAGCAGCCTGAGCCTTCCCACAGTGTCCAACCCCAGGCATTCCCTCTTCTCCAGGGGACTAAGAGGCAGGAAGGGCGAGGGAAGAAAGGGAGTGACAGGGGTCTGGGAGGGCGAGGCCATTACTTAGGGCTTGCAGGTAGTCCTCCATGTTCTTTTGCGAGACAAAGCAGTAGTAGCCAGTGAGGTTGGGAGGCATTGCGCAGAGCAAGGTTTCAGGAGAATACAGGAGGCAGGGTGAGGAAGGAGGGGGTGTTGTCTGGCAGGTGAGGCTGAGAGACTCAGGCCAGCCCCCACGACAGAGACAGTGTGTAAAGGCCTAGTTACCAGGGCTTTTATAGAGGTGGAGTCCTGTTGCAATAAGAGTCCCTACCGGACTTCCTCCCTCCCCCCATGTTGAGTTTGGGGCTGGTGTCTGCAGCCTGAAGGAGGGGCAGGGATTTGGCAAAGTTGGGCCGGACCTTGGCTTTTCCTGAGGAAGGAACCTGGAGTGGAATCTGGGTCTGTCAGTCACCCAAAACCTGAGCCATCCAAAGGTCAGTTTTGGCCTTCACCTCATTTTTGGCAGGCTTGGGAACCGTCCCAGGGCTTGAGGGACAGTCTTTCCTGGGAGGCACCTGAGGCTGGTCGGGCTGTGTGAGGTGGAGATAAGTTCTAACAATATCCTGAGGTCCTGGGACTGAGTGATGTTGGAACGTGTGAGGGGAGGCGGTGAGGACAGCCAGCTGGCCAGGAGCCACCATGTCGAGCACCCTGTAGCCCTGGCCCCCATAGCTCCCTCAACTGCCACCCTAAAGTGGTATTCCAGACTCTTGGTCCTATAGAGCCATTAGGAGGCAGGCAGAGAAACTGCTGCTCCTAAGCAGAGGGGGCTGTCAGCAGCCCAAGGGGTGCTGAGTTCAGGGTGCTGAGTTCAAAATCAGGAGCAGACAGCCAGAGAGGAGTTTGTTGGCTATACTGGAGAATTTTATTCTCTTTGGCTTGGGACGCAGAGGGTTTTCTCTCCTTCTGAGTCATCGATGAGACCATAATCCCCAGTCCAAAGCCCTTAGGACAACCCATGCTTCCCAGATGTATTTCTGTGTGTGTGTGTGGGGGGGGGGGGGTGGGGGGGTGGGGTGCCTCAATAATCGTGCGCCCCGCCCCCAGCTGCCCACTTCTCTCTCGAACCTCCCATCGTCCCAGGCTTCAGAATCCACTGGGCTTGGTTCATCATGGTTTAAGGTGAAATTCGGGGCGACGGAGGCAGGGCAGGTAGGCAGGAAGAGGCGGCCCGTTCCGACAGGTGCGCGCGCGAGGTGTGCAGGACGTCCTACCCCTCCTCGGGTCCCAGAGCCCCGCTACCGCCCTGCGGACCGCCCTGTGGCTTCCTCGCAGACCTGGGCTACAAACGCCAGGGTTTCTCAGGCTCAGACTGAGGGTTTTACTTCACCGTTCCCATAGGGCACGCAGCAGGGACCTGTGCATGGAAGAGGCTGTGAAAAGAGGTTAATGCAGAGTTGGGGGGCGGGGTGATGCGATGCCACCCCTCCGGGCCGCCCTCGGGTCCCGCTGACGTCTCTCTTCCCCACCCCCTGGCTTCTGGCTTCTTTCTCCCCACGTCCCTCTTCTTTCCCACCCGCGCCGTGGCTCTCCAGCTTCCTCCCCAGCCCCCGCAATTCCTTGGCTCCCCCAAATTGCAGCCAGGGGAAGGAGCCCTGAAGCTCTCCAGCCCCGGCGCCCCTGTCCCATTGGCTCCCTCCCCCGCTGCAGCACCTGGTCCCCCCCAGTCACCTGATTGGCCGGCGGCCCCGTCAGTCCTGGCCCGGCTGTGCTAACGTCATCCTGCAGTAGCGGGGTTCGGGTGGGAGTGAGAGAGTGAGGACGCTGGGCTCGGGGGGAACGCGAAGCCGCCGCAAGTCCCTCGCCTCAGCCACCCGGATTGGGATCTGCCCAGGTCCCCTCTATGGACTAGCGTGGGCGGCAGGCTCCTCTCTGTCCCTGCCCTGCTGTCCCCCGTTCCTCGGGGAGCCCCTGTATCCCTCCCGCAAGGTGGAACCCGCAGGCTGGAGGCTCCCACAGGAGGCAGCCGCCTGGCCCTGCCCTGCCCCACGCCGCACCATGACCCTCCTGCTGCTGCCCCTCCTGCTGGCCTCTCTGCTCGCGCCCTGCTCCTGTAACAAAGGTGAGTGAAGTGGGGGTGGGGTGGGGGCCCTGAAAGAGGGGTGTCGGGCAGCGCCGTGCAGGGTGGCGGTGGGAAGAAGGTGTCGAGGCTCCCTGGCACCTGACAGGTGTCCTCTCCTTCCCATCCGTGTTCTCGGACCTGCTCCGTCTCCTCTCGCTCTCTTCCCCCCGCCGCATCTTCCTCTCTGGTCCATCTCTACCCATGCGCGTCTCTTGTGGGTCATCTTGCTCCCATTTGGTCTCCATCATTCCCGTCCTGGGGTCTCTATTTCTCCCCTCCCCCAATTTCTACACGCCGGTAGCGACCTCGGGTCTGGAAAGGACTGTCTCCGGGCGGGTGCTGTGCGTCTCCCAGTGGCTCTCCCTTTCCCTGGCGCAGGCTAAGGGTGTGTGGCAGATCCATCTGCTTCGCCTCCATCCCATCCTGGGGAAAAACTATTTGCTGCAACTCGGCAATTCGGAGCACGTATGTTTTTGCGTGTGCCTCTGCATTCATACCCTTCTGCCTGCATCAGCTGGCTCTGGGTTACCAGAGCTGCCCTCTCTGGCAGACGGCGGATGCATTCAGCTGGGCGGGGCTGTCGGAGGGACGGAGAGGGAGGACGGGAGGGAGGGCTTGGGGGCAGAGGGCTCAGGTAGGTGGAAACGGAGGCAGAACGGCAGGAAAGGGCAGAAGTGGGTGTGTGTGGGGCGCTGAATGAGTAGTGAGAGGGAAAGCTGAGAAGAAGGACGGAGATGAGGCGTGGGAGGGGGTGAGGAGCGGATGGAAAAGGGTAAGGGTGGAGGCAGAAAAAAGAGGGAGGAATGAGAGGTAAATCATGAAAAGAGTGAGTCAAGGAGGAGCCCGGGGGGCCTAGGAGTGAAAGGGAGCAAAGGCAGAGTCCGTAGGGGGCCAGGAGGGGAGACTGACGCTCGGAGACTCCGGGAGACGAGCCGGGTGGGAGGGGGAGCTGTGCAGAAGGCGCCCTGCCTTTCCATCGCGCTCTCCTGCTCTCCCCCATCTCTGACCTCAGCCTCGCCTCTTACCCTCTTGCCACTTCCTGTGCCGCCTCCTGTGCACCATCTTGTGGCTTTCTCCTCAGCATTCAGGAAGGGGTTATGGTGGTCATCAGTTAGAAAGCCTTCCCATGCCAAAGGCTTGCTGGGGTGTGGTTGGAGGAGAGTATGGAAATCAGGGTTTCTTGCTCACTCTGAGGTACTGGGGATGAGGTGCCCTTTGGTGACTCAGTTTCCCTCTGCATCATGGGTGTGCTTTGGGAGCCTGGGTGTTGGCATGGTGGGATTAGATAGGGCAATCGTGGAGGCTGGGGTGGGGGGGCGATGTGGAAGGGGAGGGAACATGCTTCCCCACAGCCCTTCGCCAGGCTGAATCTGGTAGAAGATGGGGAGATCTGGAGTCTGATGAGTCCCACATCCATTCTGAATTGCCTGGTGTTGAAGGAAGAGGGGTGGGGTAGATAAGAACTGGGATTACGTTCTGTATAAAGAGTGGGTTTCAGGGAATGTGGTTTGATGGTCTTGTGGAGGACATAGGAATGTGCTGGTTTTGAATGTGTTCTCTTGGGTGTGGGGGTGGGAAGCAGGGAGGGGATTTGTCATGTTTCTAGGCCAGCCCGATAATCCCTTAGGATGATGGCTCTGCTGGGTCCAGTCGCTTGGCATTGATTCTTCTGCTCCATTCCTGCCCCTCTCTGCCCCCTCCCTCTGTCCTATATATCTTCTCTCCTCTCTCCCCATCCTGCGCTCTGGGAGAATGGCCCCAAGTTGGGGCTTGGCTGGGAGAAGTGCAGAGTGAAGGGATCAGGATTGAAATGAGTTGGGGAGGAGGATAAGCAATCAGGATCTCAGGAAACTTCTAGATCTTTTTCTAGTCTCAATGCTGCCCTTAATCTATCCCTTCCCTTTCCCAGGGCCTTCTCGTGGCCCACCGCTGCTCCCTGAAGTTCCCAGTTTCCATTCTGTAGCTCATGAAATCCCTAAAGAATATTCTCCACTTTCTGACCATGGTTCCCAGGGAGATGGTGGTCCCCTCCTCCTCACCCCCAGGGCAGGTTGTTTCCATGGAAACTGTCTACCCTGCTATAGGAGAAGGCTGTGACCTCCTGCAGACCCTCTGACTCCTTGTCCTCAATGACCCATCTCCTGTAAGGCGCTCCTATAGGGGGTAGAAAGGGTGATGGTGCCGGGGTGTGAGTTGTCTGGGTCAATAAGGGGTTATTGGGGAAGTAGAGGCCCTGCTCACAGGTGCTTCATCTCCTCTCCCTGGGGCGGGGCCAGCCAACAAGCACAAGCCATGGATCGAGGCAGAGTACCAGGGCATCGTCATGGAGAACGACAACACGGTCCTGCTGAACCCACCACTCTTTGCCTTGGACAAGGATGCCCCACTGCGCTATGCAGGTAATTGAGGTTGGGGGTTGGCAAGGCAGTGTAGGACAGAGAAAAGTGGGTGAGAGGGCCAAGAGCAAGGGAGGGAGGGAAGGGCCTGGGAGCGATGAGAAAGTAAGGGAAGAGGCCTCAGAAAAATAAAGGCAGACTCAAGGAAGGGAATGGGCTCCATTGAAGAATGGAGATTGAGTCAAGGAAGATAGAAAAGGACATGGGCAGCCAAGGGTTAAACACATCATGATTTTTCCAGATCTCAGGCCTGGAGGCTCTGGGAGGTTGCTGCTCAGGGAAGCTGGGCTTGGAGTTGTGTGTTTGATAATTAATGCTTTTATGCCTGCAGGAGAAGGGACAGCGCTTCCTTTGGGAGGAGAGGTGGAGCTGGACCCCAGGTGGGGAGGCTGAGGGTGGGGAAGGAGACACAGCCTCACTCCTCCCCTTCTCCCCTTTGCCAGGCGAGATCTGCGGCTTCCGGCTCCATGGGTCTGGGGTGCCCTTTGAGGCTGTGATCCTTGACAAGGCGACAGGAGAGGGGCTGATCCGTGCCAAGGAGCCTGTGGACTGCGAGGCCCAGAAGGAACACACCTTCACCATCCAGGCCTACGACTGTGGCGAGGGCCCCGATGGGGCTAACACCAAGAAGTCCCACAAGTGAGAAAGTGCTTGTCTCCTGCCCTATGTGCTGCAGGGCGCTCCTCCCTGCTTCCAAGCCCACCATGCTCTGTCCATGCAGTCACTGAACATCCACCCCGACCCGCTGCTGTTCCCAGGACTTAGGGAACCCCATCCCCTGCTGGTCCTAGTATTTAGGGACCTTCAGGCAAGGTGACAGAATCATATAGTAGAGTTCAGTGGGTCTGATCTTGGCTTTGCCTCCCATGACCTTGGGAGGCAAGGTCTAGCCTTTCTGGACTTGCTTTTCCTTATCTGTAAAATGGAGATAGTGATGACACCTACTTCATAAGGTTGCTTCGAAGATTCAAGGAGATGGTTGTGTTGAAAGCAGGCACACGGTGAAGGGCTCAGTACATGGGCGTTATCATGAGGAGGAGAGCAAGAAGGAAGAGGATGAACACACTCAGCATACATCCAGATTCCTTTCGACTGCCCCCTCCAGTCTATTTGCAGTGTGTACCACACACACGATCCCTGATATACACATATAGCTCTAGGTGAGGGTGGGCAGGGGATGGCTGTAGCAGGAAAGAGGCGCGGGTCTGGGACACCTACGCCTGTTGCCAGCTAACCTGTTATTTGAGAATAGGAAAGATCTTCAGTCAGGATTCCTGGGCCACTAAGAGGCACTAGAGATAAAATGCTCTTTGTGACTCAGTTTCCCATTTGAAGATAGAACCCTTGTCTCTGGGGCCTGGGAGCCTGGGTCTTGGCTTGGGGCAGGGCTCAGCATGAAGGGCCTTGACCCAAGCTCTGCTTGTCCTGGTGGATGACTAAGGAGGGGCCACCCCTGACACGAATGTGCGGGAGAGGCAGTGCTGCCCGCACATACTGTTCAGACATGTCAGATGACTTGTGACCTTTGTACAGATGCCATTTTCCTTCTTCTAGCTGGTTTTAATTTGCCTTTTACTCTGCATCTTCCTTGGTTATCCCCCTGGATCTGACTGCTGTGAAGGAAAACCCTGCTGGATCTTATGCCCTACCCCTCCTCTTGGCACCCTGAACCCGAAGTCATCAAAATCAGCTCCTGAGGACACCTGGGGCTTGTTCCTCATCCCCTACATCAGTGGGGGCCTCTCCCTGGTGTTGTCCTCTCCCTGGCATGACTCTGATGCAGCCTGATGCCCTGTGGGGCGGGGAGGAGCATGCTTACTGCCCCAGTCTCAGGGATAGATGGGCAGGCTTCCTCCTGCTCTGGCTCCCAGTTGGGAGTCTTGCTTGCTCCTCTCTGGCATATGGGTGTACCGTATCGAGGCTGCACCTTGGTGTACAGTATCGAGGCTGTACCTCAGTGTGCTGCATGGAGGTTATAGCTCGGTGTACTGAGTATATAATTGTACCGAGGTTTTAGCTCGGTGTACCGAGTATAGTATTGAGGCTGTACCTCAGTGTGCTGTATCGAGGCTGTATCTTGATGTACGGTATCGAGGCTGTACCTCGGTGTACTGTATCGAGGCTGTACCTCGGTGTGCCGTATCGAGGCTGTATCTTGATGTACAGTATCGAGGCTGGCTGATGTGTCCTCATCCCTCCTCCCCTCGGTATGTGCAGGGCCACCGTGCATGTGCGGGTCAATGATGTGAATGAGTTTGCCCCAGTGTTTGTGGAGCGGCTGTACCGCGCGGCTGTGACAGAGGGGAAGCTGTATGATCGCATCCTGCGGGTGGAAGCCATTGACGGTGACTGCTCCCCTCAGTACAGCCAGATCTGTTACTATGAGATTCTCACACCCAACACCCCTTTCCTCATTGACAACGATGGTGAGTTGGCCCTGGCTTCCCTGGCCATCCATGTGCACCCACCTCCCTCAGGGTGACCCCGGGCTGCACTCTCCACTTTTGCCCCTCAGACCCTCACCTCACCTTTCTTCCCCAATGGAGCCTTCTCCTCCCACACGCCCTCCTCCCTGCATCCTGCCTGACCCGCCTGATGCCCGATGAATGCACACATCCTCTCCTTGCTGTCCTGGGCTTTCTCCAGTGCTCTGATGCTCTGTCCTCCTGACCCCACCTCAGGGAACATTGAGAACACAGAGAAGCTGCAGTACAGTGGTGAGAGGCTCTATAAGTTTACAGTGACGGCTTATGACTGTGGGAAGAAGCGGGCGGCGGATGATGCTGAGGTGGAGATTCAGGTGAAGCCCACCTGTAAACCCAGCTGGCAAGGTGAGAGCTCAGCGCTGTGCCCCATCTTGTGAATCATCCTTTTCCTTGGTCTCTCCTTCGGTCCCTTCTGACAATCATGGGGGCTAGGCTAGGTCTGGGAGGATGTTGGGGAAGACTTGCAGCTGTCTACTCTGGCTGGACCATCTGCCAGAAGTCCCAGACTGTCCATGGACATGGCAAGAGAAGCATGGAGAGGGGAGGCTGCTTTACCCTTCTCTTTCCCCGTCACTCTTTCTGCCTCATTCTTGCAGGCTGGAACAAAAGGATTGAATATGCACCAGGTGCCGGGAGCTTGGCTTTGTTCCCTGGTATCCGCCTGGAGACTTGTGATGAACCGCTCTGGAACATTCAGGCCACCATAGAGCTGCAGACCAGCCATGTGGCCAAGGGCTGCGATCGTGACAACTACTCTGAGCGGGCGCTGCGGAAACTCTGCGGTGCGTGTGTCCCCAGCACTGCTTGAGGCCTGTCCCTTCCCATCCAGCCTCTGTCCAAACTTCTCCAAGACTCTGCCTTATGTCACCTCTGGCCATCCACAGGTGTTTATCCACAGAGGTTGTGACACGTGGTTAGTTTTTGTGGCCCAAAGGGAAGGTAAATATGTCTTTGGCAAAGATGCATAATTGTCACACCAGTCACCAGATGCATGGTGGAACAATGGTAGGAAGAGACGAAGAGCTAGAGAATGGGCTAACTGGAGAGATACTCTTAAAGAGAGTTCATGCCTCTCTTGTCTTTGAAAGGCCACAAGAGGCAGCAAGACATGCTGTAGGAAATCTTTTCCCATCAGTCCCTCTTTCCCTGCCTCCTGCCTGTTTCACCATCTGCTGCTCCTTGGCTCTGACACTTGTGCCTTCTGGGGCTCCCACAGGTGCTGCCACTGGGGAGGTGGATCTGTTGCCCATGCCCGGCCCCAATGCCAACTGGACGGCTGGGCTCTCAGTGCACTACAGCCAGGACAGCAGCCTGATCTACTGGTTCAATGGCACCCAGGCTGTGCAGGTGCCCCTGGGTGGTCCCAGTGGGCTGGGATCTGGGCCCCAGGACAGCCTCAGTGACCACTTCACCCTGTCCTTCTGGATGAAGCATGGAGTAACTCCCAACAAGGGCAAGAAGGAAGAGGAAACCATCGTGTGTAACACTGTCCAGAATGGTAAGCCTCCTCTCTAGGCGCTGGCCAGAAAGGGAAACTGGCTTTTGTCCTGCCTCTGTCACTGCCCAGTGTGTGACTGTGGACAGGTCACGTCCCCTCTCTTCATTTGTGACGTGCAAGTGCCAGGTTTGATACGCCTTGATTCTGTGCTTCATCCCCAACATGACGTGTGGGATCCTACTGCTGTAGAGTGCATTGGGACTCTGCTGCTACTCTCCTTTCAGTTGCCCAGTCAACTTCTCTGTGTCCCACCATGTGGTAGGCTGCCCACCCCCCATTTCTACTCCCATTAAAGCCCCTCCATTGCAATGGGAAAGCCTGGGTAATGGTGTGCCCCATTCTTTCACCATCCCATCTGGTACTGGTTGGCCCCATCTCTGAGCTCTGTTCGTCCTTCATCTGTAGGGCACACTCCACTGGAGAGGGCTCAGACTTGACCTGCTCTTTCATTTCTAACCACTTCTCTGACCTCATTTTTCTTGACCTTGAATAGAGATGTTGACCTTGACAACTCTTTTGAAAAGAGTTGTCACCCATAATATCTGTATTAATGACAGTACTGATGAGGAGCTGGGAGGGAGTGGGCCAGCTGATGTTCCCCCCTCAGCCAGTCAGGGTGCCTAAGAAGCCTGAGTTATCACTTGGACTGGAGTGTGTATGTGTGTGTGTGTGCACGTGCATGCATGCATGTGCGTGTGCGTGCGCGTGCGTGTGCGTGCATGTGTGTGTGTGAGACAGAGAGAGATTGCTAGAGAGTGAGGGAATGAGAGAGGATTAAGAGAATCCAGTGTCCTCTCCTTCCTGCTGCTTTGAACTTGTTCTGGCCTTGGCCTCTGAACTTGACCTCGTTCCCTTCCTGTTCCTTCAGAGGACGGCTTCTCTCACTACTCGCTGACTGTCCACGGCTGCAGGATTGCCTTCCTCTACTGGCCCCTGCTTGAGAGTGCCCGCCCAGTCAAGTTCCTCTGGAAGCTGGAGCAGGTGAGGCCAGAGCCAGGCTCCTGGGAGGCCTGGGTAGATGTGACTAACTTTTATGAAAGGTCCTTCTCTGGGCAGGGTCAGCATTTTCTGGGTTCCCCTTGCCCTCTCTTTGCTTCTCCACTTTCAGCCCCTGACCATCCCAGGTCCTCCTGTTCCCTTTTCCCAAGGCCTGTCCCCTGCAGAAAGCAGTCCTAGATTAAAAAAATAACAATAATGAGGAACAAATGGCTACTAACACCAAACCCAACCAACCATCTATTTGCCCCTTGTTTGATTCCACCTCTCTCTTACTTAGGACTTTAACAATACACATCCCTGACTCAGGCAGTTAGTCTGTTGTAATCAAGACAATAAGTCATTCTAAGGTACATAGGTTGGGTTTGAGTCCTGCTAAGGAGATTTATTAGCTATGAAATCTTGGTTAATATGTGTAAACATCAGGGTTAAAAGAACTCTGCTAAATAGGGATAAAAAGACTTCTATATCCCAGAGTCATTAGGATTAAATGATGTAATAGGCCCTTGTAGACTGAAAGGCACTCTCTCTGTATATGTTAATTCTCACTGTTACCAGCCATGACTGTGGAGGACTAAAAAAAATGGACGAAATATTTAAAATCCTCTCTTGAGTCAGAGTTGCAGCCTCTTCATTATTTATTCTCCAGGCTGTCCGCAAGGACCAGTGAGGACTAATTTGAGTTTCCATCTCCTCCTATTTCTCTTGCAAGTCCTGGTGGAGTAGCTGAGTAAGCAAATGGCGAAAAAAAAAAAAAAAGCAGTAGAAGAGAGAAACAGAAGTGCCTAGAAAATGCATAAACTAGTAATTGAGGGCTATCTACAACAGTTTTGCTGCCAGTGGGACTCTTAAAGAGGCAGTCTGTCATTTGCTACTTCTCAGTTTCCCCTCCACATTGCAAATATTGTTAATGTTACCCTTGCTATCTTTCTTTACTTCACCCTCATTTAATCAGGCAGTATCTATTAAATACAACTAAGTCTCTGTCATTCAGCTAGGTTCTGGGGAGAGAATCAATGAAATGAAATCTTTGTCGTCATTGAACTCACATTTTAGTTGGGGAGATAGACTTTTAAGAAGTAAATTAGACACATAGAATGATAAGTTGTGATAAATGCTCCAAAAGAAGCAAGGAAGGGACTGGGGTAGAGCATGGGGGCGGCAAGGAGAGGCAAACTCACTTTAGATTGGATGCTGTTGGGGAGCCCTGACTGAGATGAAATTTAAGCCTAGTGCTAAAGGATGAGAAATAGCTGGCTGTAGGAAGAGAGTGGGGAGGTTCCAGGAAGAGGGAAGAGCAGATGCAAAGGCCCTGAGGCAAGAAAGAGCTCAGCCTGTTCCAGGCATGGAGAGAGGGTCAGTGAGGTTGGAGTACAGCAAACAAGGCTGGAGATAAATTGCAGAGATGGGCAGTGATCAGGTTGTACAATGGACTTTTTCAGCAGGGTTAGTTTAGATTTTTGTCCTATGAGAGATGGGAAGTGGTTTTATTTATTTATTTATTTATTTTTGAGGTGGAGTTTTGCTCTTGTTGCCCAGGTTGGAGTGCAATGATGTGATCTTGACTCACTACAGCCTCCGCCTCCCTGGTTCAAGTGATTCTCCTGCCTCAGCCTCCGGAGTAGCTGAGATTACAGGTGCCTGCCACCATAGCTGGCTAATTTTTTGTATTTTTAGTAGAGATGGGGTTTCACCATATTGGCCAGGCTGGTCTTGAACTCCTGACCTGAGGTGATTTGCCCACCTTGGCCTCCCAAAGTGCTAAAATTATAGACGTGAGCCACTTTGCCTCACAGGAAGTGTTTTTTGAAGGATTTAAAGCAGAGGAATGACCTGATCAGATTTCCTTTTTTTTGTTTTGAGACAGAGTCTCTCTGTCACCAGGCTGTAGTGCAGTGGCATGATCTTGGCTCACTGAAACCTCCATTTCTTGGGTTCAAGCAATTCTCCTGCCTCAGCCTCCCAAGTAGCTGGGACTACAGGCGTGTACCACCATGCCCAACTAATTTTTGTGTTTTTAGTAGAGGCTGGGTTTCACCATGTTGGCCAGGATGGTCTCAATCTCTTGACCTTGTGATTTGTCCCCCTTGGCCTCCTAAAGCACTGGGCCATCGTGCCTGGCCAGATATACATTTTAACAAAGATCCCCTTGACAACTGTTGGATGGATGTATTGAAGAGATCTAATGGTGGAAGTAGGCAGGACTGTTGCAACAGTCTCCATAACAGGGGTTGGGGACATGACGGATGTGTGGCAATGGTGATGGAGAGGCTTGCACAGAAACCTGCAGCTTGTAGCCCTGTTTGGACCTGGCATCAGCAGCAGCTGCTGATGGACTGGATGTGGAGGTTGAGGGAAAGGAAAGATCAAAGTTGTCTCCTACGTCACCCACTTGATTCGCTGGATAGATGATGGAGCATTTATACTGCCTGGGGAGAAACTGAGGGAGCTGGGAAAAGGCATGGACTGCAGTTCACACATGTTAAGAGTGAGATACTTGTGCAGCATCAAGCGGAGAACCCAGTATTCAGAGGAGAGTTCTGGACGGGAGATGTAGATTTCAGAGTTACCAGTGTATAAATACGATACCCGACCCCATGGCAACAGATGAGGTGACTTTTAGGAAAACAGTGTAGAGAGGAAAGAGAAGAGGGCCTAGGTCTGAGCCTTGAGGGACCCCAACATTTGGAACTGGATGAGGCAGAGTATTTTCTGCCCTTTTTTACTCTGACCATCCCCCATTCCATCTGGGCTAGCCCTAGGAGAGACTGCAAAGGGAAGCAATACTCATTTTAGTGCTTAATGTTGGATTAGAAGCTACCCTAGAGATAATCTGTAATCCCAGCTACTCAGGAAGCTGAGAGAATCACTGGAGCCCAGGAGTTTGAGACCAGCCTAGGCAACATGATAAGAGCTCATCTCTAAAAATAAAAAAAAAATTAGCTGGATATGGTGGCACATACCTGTAGCCCAGCTACTCCAGAGGCTGAGGTGGGAGCATCGCTTGAACCTAGGAGGCTTCAGTGAACTATGATTGTGCCACTGCATTCCAGCCTGGGGGACGGAAGGAAACTGTCTCTTACAAAAAGAAACTACCCTAGAGTTTCCAGTGCCTTACATACATATGTAATACAGAAGTTTTGGGGGACATTTATTCATGACAGTGTGTTACTCCTCTTAGGAATAGTTACAGCTTTCAAGATTTACCCGAAGTGTGGAATCTTTGGTACTAGGTTGGTTGCCTGATAGATGTTGGACAAGGATGTTATTCCTTGAGCTGGATAGGCGGCAAAGCACTAGTAAGCCCTGTTGCTAGAACTGGGAATATGAGGGAATGTCCCCTCTCTCCCAGGAGATGGGGCAGTACCTGGGGTTAGCTCTCTGAAGAGGAATTACCTGAGAGGCTCTTGCCCCTACCCTACTCACCCAGGTCTGTGATGATGAGTGGCACCACTACGCTCTGAACCTCGAGTTCCCCACAGTCACACTCTATGCCGATGGCATCTCCTTCGACCCTGCCCTCATCCATGACAATGGCCTCATCCACCCACCCCGAAGGGAGCCTGCTCTCATGATTGGGGCCTGCTGGGCTGGTAAGTCCCTCTGAGTGTCTCAGTGAAGACTCCAGTGGTTTAGGATTTGGGAAAGGAGGTGGGCTGGTGAGGAGCAAGGGCAGTTTGGTCCTGTGGCTGAGGCTGCCTCACGCATCTCTTGGCTGTTGGGCAGGGTGACTCTGAAGATCTCCATGGGAGGGGACCACAGCCTCCCTCCCATATCTCCCACTAATCCAATGGGTCATCACCTCTGACTTGGAGGAATTACTTCCCAGGCATCCCCAGACTCTGTAACTCTAGCCAGTTTCCACTTTGTTCCATCAAAGTGATGATGACTTCTCAAGGAGAGTAACCCCTTAGAGTGTCCTCACTCTTCCAACTTTTAAGCCATTAAAAAAACTTTTCTCCTCTTGGGAGCGTGTGTGTGCACACACGTGTGTGTGTGCATGTGCCTGTCTGTCTTACCAGAGCCCACGTGTTTCCTCAGCAGCACATCATATTTGGGGATTTGACTACAACAGAGGCTGGAGAGGTTGGGACATGACAAAAGAAGGGTTGGAGCTGAGCTGAGAGGTTGCAGGTTATACATGGGCAGGGTCAGAGTTCCACGTGGGCATGAGAGCACTCATGGAGATGAGAGGAAGACGTCTCAGTCCTCTCCATCAATCTCTCCACATCCCTGAGATCACCACCACTTTCTTTTTGTCCCCAGAGGAGAAGAACAAAGAGAAGGAAAAGGGAGACAACAGTACAGACACCACCCAAGGTACTGTGTGTGTAAGAACTGGAGACCAGAGAGTTCTCATCCTCACTTTCTGTTCTGAGATCCCTTTTCCACCCCAAATCCTATCCAGTCTGTAACAGCCTCCCAGGCCACCAGGGGGCAGAGCCTCCAAGAAATACAGCAAGGCAGGGGCTCCAGGAGTGGTAAAGCCAGAGGCAGCTGGGTTGGGTTCTGGGTGTCCTGCCCTGCCCACAGAATGAAGAACCGGGCTCTCTGGCTGGCTTTCCACATGGCAGAAGGGAGGTGGCAGGAGTCAGACACGCAGGAGGGGAAGGTCTGGGCATCTGTGAAGCTCACTCACATCCATCCTGGTCTCCTTGCATGTCTCTGGAAAGATGTCCTCTCCTGCCGCCTCCCCCATTCTCCTTGTTTTTCCTCTTTCCCCCTTTTGGTCCTGTTTCCTTCTCTTCCTCCCTCTCATCTTTGCTTCTACTTTTCACCCTTCTTCTTCCCCCCCGGCTTTATTCTGTCTTTTATTGTCTCATTTTTCTCCCTTCTCTAACCTCCCTGTATCTTCACTTCTCCCTCATCTCTCACTCTTTTTTCCCATTTGTTTTCCTTCTCAATTATTCTGCTTTTTCTCTCCTTTCCCTTTCTCTCAGCCTTTGTCCTTCCATCCTCCTCTCTTCTTACCTCCCGTCCTGCCCCTGTGTTCCTGCCCTAGGAGACCCCTTGTCGATCCACCACTACTTCCATGGCTACCTGGCTGGTTTCAGCGTGCGTTCAGGTCGCCTGGAGAGCCGCGAGGTCATCGAGTGCCTTTATGCATGTCGGGAGGGGCTGGACTATAGGGATTTCGAGAGCCTGGGCAAAGGCATGAAGGTATCACCCCGTCCTCCAGCCCCGTTCTTCCCGGCATGCCCCCTGCCCCTCACCCTTGCCCCACCCCTCTACCTCTGCTCCCTTCCTCTCCCACCTCCTGGCCCTGCTCTCAGCTATCTGTGTCTGGGGCCCAGGTCCACGTGAACCCCTCACAGTCCCTGCTCACCCTGGAGGGGGATGATGTGGAGACCTTCAACCATGCCCTGCAGCATGTGGCTTACATGAACACTCTGCGCTTTGCCACGCCCGGCGTCAGGCCCCTGCGCCTCACCACTGCTGTCAAGTGAGTGTTGGGTGGGGCAGGGCAAATCATCCAGCACAGCCAGACAGTGTCACAGTTCCTTGGCCTAAGGTGTCACGTAGGGCTAGCCATACCGCTCTCGTTTTTATGAATGAGGAGATTGGGTCCTCAAATGGAGACAGTTGACCGCTGAAGGTCACATAGCAATCACTGTGGGTAGAAGAGTCTGGACTCCACTCAGATTTCTCACAATCAATTCATTACTCTTTCCACAAAGTCGCACTTCTAGGGTTTTTGGGCTTTGATCTTCTCTATGCCTCTGTGCTGATACGTAAAGTGGGACACAGGATTGGGAGTAGGGAGACCTGACATGAATTCTGACTCGATACGAATTACTTGGATAACCCCAGGCAAATGGTGAGTCCTGGCTGCTTCACCTGATTTCATCCTGCTTCACTAAGCTCTTGCAAGGTCACATATGGTGACCTACGTCTAGGTGTTGGCAGTCGTAGGCCAAATCTGGCCTGCTGCCTGCTTTTGTAAATAGTTTTGTTGGAACACAGCAGTGCCCATGCATTTGCATATGTCTGTGGCTACTTTCACACTGTGATGTCGGAACTGAGTAGTTGGGACAGAGATCATGTGGCCCCCAAACAGAAAATATTTACTGTCTAATCCTTCATGGAAAAAGTTTGCTGACCTCTGAATTCCTAGTGAATGATTTTTGGAGTCTTTAAAAGGAAAATTGTAGATTATTTCAAGGTTCGAGTATATATGACATGTTTAAAAATACGGATCAATTGAGAGGCAATGAAAGGATGATAGTTAAGAACAGTCTATTGCTAGCTTTTTAGCACTGAGCAAATGCTGGTAAGTATTGATAGCAATACAGTCTAACTTGTGGAATTGCTAAGATAACTCCATGATATGATCTGGATCACATGCCTAGCAGACAGCTTATGCCGCTTAAATGTTGGTTATTATTACAAGAAGGCATTTTCACCCCTTATTGTGGTTTAAGAGCGGGGTTAGAAGATACTGCCATCTAGTGGGTGAATTACATGATTTAGGAGTGAGGATTTCTGCGTTCTAGTCTTGCTACGCCTCTCCCCGAGATTCTGCCTCAGATTCTCTGTGAGCTATATGAAGATAAACATCTCTAACTTGCCCCTATCCTGGGAGGGGTGGGTTTAGACGGGAAAGGGCTCTAAGCCCTAGAGTATGACTGGGCGTGATTATCAGGCCTCACACTTAGAGCTTCAGGTGTAGAGCTGAAGGTCATAGGCAGATGAGGTCATGTGGGTGCAGCTGATCGCTGAGTACGCACCCCACCATGTCCCAGTCAGAGAGCCAGTTGTTAAAGAGCTGTCATCCAGTTATGAAAGGCTTAATCCCTCAAAAGCCAAGGCATTGCCTCATCCCCTCCAATGCTCAGGAGCCATGTCAGAAGGCAGGGCTCTGGTTTTTGGCCTAGGGTGGAGCTCTGCAGGGGGAGTTCCTGCAGGGGGAGGAGTTGACATTCTCTTTGCTGGCTGGCTCCTCTGAATTCCTCCTGTCTTTTTCATGCCCAGGACAGAGGTTCATCCTGGGCTTGGAACCTGCCTTTGGTCCCTTTAGTAGAGGGAAGGGGCCTTGATGTTTTCTCTGTGAGATTAAGAAAGAGAGTTTTCATTTCTCCATTTCTAAGGTTACTACATGGTTGGTGCTGTGGTAATACTTCCCTGAGGTCGTGGGAGAAAATATAGAGGGGTGTGTGTGTGTGTGTATACAAGTGTTTGTACGCAACAGAGACAGACAGGTATCTAGCAACACCTCCCTTTCCCTGATGCATTTCCTTGCTCCTGCCCATGTGGCTTCCATAGCTTCCAGTTTTCAGTTCTTGGACCTCCATCTATTTAAAGCCAAATTTATGCAAGTATTTGGTCAAGGCCTAAATGCAGGTTTTCCTTAATTTTTCTTAAAAAATATCTTCCTTGGAAAGCCCATCTACTTGTGGCATTGACCCCTGAAGAGATGGACACCACATCTTTTTCTCTAGTTTTGTCCTCTTTCCACAGCTCTTGACTTTCCACCTGCTTCCTGTAACCTCTATCTAGAAGTTTTGCCAGCACCTCAAGCAAATGAGCTCATGCTAAAATAATCAACTGCAATGCCCAAACCAGCTCCTCCCCATGAGCTCTCTCTGTAATAGCGTCTCTGTCCTTGCAGTCACCCAGAGCTTGAAACCTCTGAGTCATCTTTGATTCCTCCCTGTCTATCCTCCACTCCTCATCAGTTGCCAGGTCTCCTGGACCCTGCCTCTGTGCTGGGTGTCTGGAATCTGTCTTCTCTTTCTTTTGCTGCTGTTACTGTTCTAGCCCAGGTTTTATGACCTCTTATCTGGCCCACTGCCTCCTAACTAGCTGACCTATCTCTAGTCTTCTAATTTTATTTATCCTCCACTCTGAGGCCGGGTGAGTGATCGTAAGTTGAGTTTTCAACATCACACTTCCCTGATGAAAAAGATGCCCATGGCTTCCTCTTGCCCACTGCATAAAAATGTCAAATGTGCTAGGCGCAGTGGCTCACACTTGTAATCCCAGCTCTTTGGGATGCCAAGGCAGGAGGATCATTTGAGGCCAGAAGTTCAAGACCAGACTGGATGATCAACAGGCTGCATGCCTATAGTCCCAGCTACTCAGGAGGCTGAGGTGGGAGAATCACTTGAGCCCAGGAATTTTCAAGGCTGCAGTGAGTTGTGATTGCACCACTGCATGCCAGCCTGGGCAACAGAACAGGACCCTGTCTCTAAAAAATTAGAGAGAGAAAAAAAGTCAAAACTTATCATGGCATTTAAAGCCACCAGTGGTTTGGCTCCTCCTGGTTGTTCCCGCCTCATATTCCCCTACTCTCCTGAGTAAGCGTCTCGCCATCCGCTCTGGGTCAGTTCTACCCTCCTTCAAAGGCTAGCTCAGTTGCTACTTTCTCTGATCATTCCTACCTTCCCTTTCCAAACAGCCTCCTCTTATCCTTGCCAGAAGTAACCTCTCCCTCCTCTGAACGCTTCTGGTTGTTTGTTCCACTCATATGGCGGTGACCATATTTGCCTTTGTTTTAATGTTTGTGTGCCATGTCTAATCTCTCTACCAAACCATCAGTGCCTTTGGGTCAGGCCTCCTATTCGCCTTGGGATTCTGAGAGCAGCAGCCCAGCCCAGCATTGCTCATTGCAGGGAGGATGGCTGTTGGAACCTGTGCCTTCAGGATCATCTGGGATTGTTTCCCAAGGAGCTTTGCCCTAGGCCTATCTGGGTGATAGTGCAGACTATAGTAGGCCCTGCTCTGTGTGGCACAGGAACTGAGCACATCGTGGGCATTGGTAACTCCAGGGGCTCTGTGCTTATCATGCCTGCTGAGATTATGCCTTCTCCCTTTTGGCTCCAGCAGTCAAAGTGGGCATGCTCGGTAACACTAATAATCACAGTCCTCTCTGTAAAATCATTTCCATTAGTACCAGCATATGGATCAGAGTCCCTGCTCCTGCATCTGCTGTGAAGTTTGCCTGTTCAAGTGGGGAAACTTCTTTATAGATACATTTCCCTGGTGCAAACCCAGGCCCCAAATGGTGCCTGTGGTTTAGTGGAAAAATCAGTAGACTAGGGTCTTGCGTGGTGGCACATGCCTATGGTCCCAGCTACTTAGGAGGCTGAGGCAGGAGATTGCTTGAACCCAGGCGGCGGAGGTTGCAGTGAGCTGAGATGGCACTACTGCACTGCAGCCTGAGTGACAGAATGAGACTCTGCCTCAAAAAAAAAAAAAAAGATCAGTGGACTTGGAAGGAGAAGAATGGTTTCGGCCTTGACCCTGACATATAATTTCTTTTGTGGCCCAGATGCTTGAGCTTTGGTTTCTTTCTTTTCCTTTCCTTTTTCTTTGGAGACAGGGTCTCACTCTGTCACTCTGTCGCCCAGGCTGGAGTGCAGTGGCATGATCTCATCAGCTCACTGCAACCTCCGCCTCCTGGGCTCAAGTGTTTCTCCCACCTCAGCCTCCTGAGTAGCTGGGACTATAGGAGCCCATCACCACACCTGGATAATTTTTGTGTTTTTTGTAGAGCTGGGATTTCACAGTGTTGCCCAGGCTGGTTTCTAACTCCTAAGCTCAAGGGATCCTCCCGCCTCAGCCTTCCAAAGTGCCGGGATTATAGGCATGAGCCACCATGCGTGGCCTGAGATTTGGTTTCTTACCCCTATTTTGCAGCACAGAAATGAGGTTATAATGAAGTAATATGGGAAAAATGCCTCATAAACTAGCAAGGGCTATAGATCGTGAGGTGTTGTATCACTGGTAAAAGGTGGGGCTGAAAGTGATCTTGGGAGCGTCACTTGCTGTGTTTGGTCTGGCTCAGTGGAGTCCTCTAGGGATAGCTTGTCCTGGTGCCTGGATCCTCAAGCTTCATGGGACAGTGGATCTAGGTCCAAGGTGGTCAGATGATCTCACCTACCAAAGTGTGTTTCCCGGATATTGAAGGGAATGGAAGACACGCCAAAGAGGAGGACATCCTCTGATAGATGTCCACACTCTACTTTTATTGTTGGATAATTTGGGCTTATATGTGCCAGATAGTACACTGATCCCATGTATTTTTAAACTCCCGGGTAAAGAACTATGTGTGTATATGTAAATGTTTGTCAGTTCAGTTTGCTATATTTTTCACTGAAATAGGATTTATAGGTACTCCATAATCCTGGGGTAGGGCATTGATGGTGTGATCACACCCACAGGTTGGGGTTACCTGACCTGTCCTCGACATTTCCTTGGTGATGTCCTACCAGGAAAGGCTATGTCTCCCTTCAACTGCTGTGGGGGTTGGGGTGCAGGGGCATGACCCCCTTTCTTCCCCTGCCACTCCCTGACATGAGATGCTCTATGATAGAGGTAGAGGCCGGGCTGAAGTGAAACAGAATGCAGGTTTTCAGGGAGGAGGTGTCGGGGTCACATGCTGCTTCTCCTCCTTTCTCACATAGGTGCTTCAGTGAAGAGTCCTGCGTCTCCATCCCTGAAGTGGAGGGCTATGTGGTGGTCCTTCAGCCTGATGCTCCCCAGATCCTGCTGAGTGGCACTGCCCATTTTGCCCGCCCAGCTGTGGACTTTGAGGGACCTGAGGGGGTCCCTTTGTTCCCTGATCTTCAAATCACCTGCTCCATCTCTCACCAGGTGGAGGCCAAAAAGGATGAGAGTTGGCAGGGCACAGGTAAGGACGACTCTGGGGAGTAACACCATCCAGAGAACCAGCCAGTGTCTGGAGCCAGAGTGTGGGAGAACTCTTGGGGCTGGAAGCAGAAAGTGACTCCATCCTGTGTTTGTTTGACTGAACAACTTACCTTTAAGAAGGAGAGAAAGTGGGAAACCCGTGGGTGGAAGTGAATTGTTGCATAATGATATTCTTGAAAACGTCGCTGCCTTCCCTTTCCCTGACCCTGGAAAGGGAGGGAGAGTGGTGAGGAAGCGATGGCTGGGTCTCAGAGCCCCTGTGGGCTCTTTGGCTCTGACCCAGACCCTACTCTTCCCAACCCAGTGACAGATACACGCATGTCGGATGAGATTGTGCACAACCTGGACGGCTGTGAAATTTCTCTGGTGGGGGATGACCTGGACCCTGAGCGGGAAAGCCTGCTCTTGGACACAAACTCCCTGCAGCAGCGAGGGCTGGAGCTCACCAACACGTCTGCCTACCTCACCATTGCTGGTCAGTGGGGACTCAGGGCCTGTCCTCTGTGTGTGTGCCTCTCCCCATAAGTAAGCAGCTGGGCCCAGAGGGTCCTCCTTCCCATCCAGGGATGTGGACAAGTGCCGTTTTGCATTTTCCCAGCCTGGAAGATCCTCTGGCTTCCAGATTGTCCCTAGGGGAGGTATGCCGGGTTTAGGCTCTTTCTGCTCCTCTCCATAGCCTAGCTCACCTCCGCTTCTGGTCCCACTCCTGTTTCCATTCAGGCTTCTCGCCTTCCTTTCCTCCTTCAGCTCATCTCTGCCCAGCATTCTAACCCTCTAGCTGTTTGTTGCTGGTCATCTGTGTCTTACAGCTCACTAATCTCATGTGCACACCAGAGCTTTACAAGAAGTGCTTATCTCTTAGTGGGAGTGATGATTTGGTAGTTTCCAAAGGAAGCCAGGAGGGAGAATGGAGAAGATGGAGATAACCTGTTCCCTCCTATTTCCACTCCTTTCCAGGGCTCACTGAGGACTTTTGTATTTTCCCCTTTCTTAGGTTTCTCCTGCTTTCCATCTTTCAGGATGTCTTTTTTTTTTTCCTTTTGAGACGGAGGAAATCTGTCACTCAGGCTGGAGTGCAGTGACACAATCTTGGCTCACTGCAACCTCTGCCTTTCTGAGTTCAAGCGATTCTCCTGCCTCAGTCTCCCTGGTAGCTGGGACTTCAGGCACCTGCAACCATGCCTAGCTAATTTTTTATTTTTAGTAGAGATGGGGTTTCACCATATTGCTCTCGAACGCCTGACCTTGTGATCCGCACACCTCTGTCTCCCAAAGTGCTGGGATTACAGGTGTGAGCCACCGTGCCTGGCCCAAGATGTCTTTCTGTCTTTCTTTCCATTCCTCCTCAGAAGCTACAGAATAGGAAATGGAGCCTTGGTCTCTCCATCCTAGTTAAGCAGAGCGGGCAGGGATGGAGAGGAGCATCTCTTCCTTTGACCTCAGGTCGCCTCTCTGCTGAGATAGGGCTGACCCTCTTTACAGCTTGTGTGGTGCCAGCTGGTGGGAGTCCAGGAGAGAGGGTCCTGCCCAGGTCCTGCCTCCACTGGCCCCTGCCCTGAGGTGCTTCCTCATCTCCAGGGGTGGAGAGCATCACTGTGTATGAGGAGATCCTGAGGCAGGCTCGTTATCGGCTGCGACATGGGGCTGCCCTCTATGCCAGGAAATTCCGGCTTTCCTGCTCAGAAATGAATGGCCGTTACTCCAGCAATGAATTCATCGTGGAGGTACCCAGAAAGTCTCCTTCCTTCTGCAGTTACCCACCCCTGGAAAGGAGCCAGGGTGGTGTGGACTCAAAATGTTAGTTTGTGGGCATGGACATGGCAGCGTGGAGGGCTGCTGGACTTTGCAGTGGGTGGAGGAGAAGGAGATGGGGGCAGTAGTTAGGAGATGGGGCTGGGCTCTAGGGAGGTGGGGGAGGACCTGGGAAGAAGCGTGTGTGCCCATGGAGCCCTCCCTCTGCCCAGGTGAATGTCCTGCACAGCATGAACCGGGTTGCCCATCCCAGCCACGTGCTCAGCTCCCAGCAGTTCCTGCACCGTGGTCACCAGCCTCTGCCTGAGATGGCTGGACACAGCCTGGCCAGCTCCCACCGAAACTCCAGTACGTAAGCCTGGGTGGGGCTGGACAGGGAGGGGTGGGTGGCAGGGGAGTGGGTTGGGACAGGTATCCTCCCCTTCCACCTCTGGGAGCAGACAAGCGGAGTGGAGCAATGGGTTCTTTTCCCTGTGGTACCTGCCTCAGTTGACAGCTGTGGACCAATCCCTCTCTCCCTTTGGATCATTCACTTTCCCTTGTGAAGAACATGAGTCTTGTGTCATTTTAGGGTGCTTATGCTTGGAATCATAACGTCAATGTGGGTTTAGGCATCTTTGTTATTCCCGATGATGTCTCCCTCCCCAGCCCCAAGCAATATCAAATTAGCCCTGGACCCAGGAATTCTCTACTGTGGAGCCATCAAGTATTTACTAAGCACCTGCTATGTGCTAGCACTGTCTGTAAATGATATGAATGATTTATAAGGTAGATACAGTCCTTATCCCCAAGGAGAGAATTGGTACTATTACATGTATAATTATGTGCCATGTGCACAGTTGCAAGATTATTTCTAAAACAAAATATGCAAATATGCAAAGCATTCCGTTCAGATGGAGTGCCGCCCTTTGAAAGCAATTGGCCAGGGTGCCAAAGGTCCCAGTCACGGTCCTTTACCAGTGGTGAATTTTATTTTCTACTTTTGAGTTGCATAATTATAGAAAAACTAGAAAATATCAATAAAAAAACAAAGAAAAAATCAGGCCAGGCACCGTGGCTCACGCCTGTAATCCCATCACACTGGGAGGCTGAGGCAGGAGAATCACCTGAGCCCAGGAGTTTAAGACCAGCCTGGGCCACATAGTGAGACTCTGTCTTTACAAAAAATAATACTAATAAAATAGCTAGGCATGGTGGTGTGTGCCTGTAGTCCCAGCTACTTGGGAGGCTGAGGTAGGAGGATCGCTTGGGCCTGGGAGGCCAAGGCTGCAGTGAGCCATGATCACGCCACTGCACTCCAGTCTGGGAGACAGAGTAAGATGCTGTCTCTGTCTCAAAAAAAAAAAAAAAAAAAAAAAAAAAAAGAAGAAGAATCAACCATAATTCCGTCGGAGAGGAACCCACTGATAATATGATATATTATGTTCTAGTCTTCTTTCTATGCCTAATTTTTTCTTTTTAGGAAGTTAGGATTAACTTATTTGGTAACCTGATATTTACGCTTCATATTATAGAACAAGTATTCTCTCACATTATTAAGAAGCAAATGCATGCAAATGATGCTGATGTTCCTGAAAGTGATTTCTGGAACTCTTTTTAGAATTGCTTTCAGAGCCAATTTATGAGGCGCGTTTGTTTTGTTACTTTTTGGACAGTGTTACCCAACTCCATCATCCACTTTTGCCAAAGTTGGCTCTGGATATAATTTTAACTTTTTCAACATTAAACCTACTCTCAAAGCCATAGAACAGTCACTTTTGAAAAAAATCAAAAGGTTGTGTCACAGGCTCTGAAGGCAATTCTCGAAGGAGTCCACTAGTGCTTTCTTGGAGGAAGTTTGTGGTCTCTGAACACTATGTGAAAGTACAGAACTTATTTCAATATGTGATGTAATAATGATAACACACACAGGCGCTCTCATAGTGTGGCCGGCACATGCTGGGGGGATGACGCGTATTAACTCATTTAGCCATCACAAATGAACAATGAAATGGGTACTAGAATTATCCCCTTTACGGGCAAGGAAACAGAGACACAGAGAGTTCAAGTGTCTTACCCAAGTTCACACAGCTATAAAGTAGGTGGAGCCAGGATTTGAATCCAGGTAGCGTGATTTCAGTCTGTGCACTAACCATGGGCCTCATCCCTCTCCCCAGATGTTTGATGCTTTAAAAAAAAATTAGTCTCATTACTTTAGAGTTGAACATAATTAGGGGGAGCCCCTCAGGGACTTCCCAGGGTTTTCTGACGGAGGCCAGCTCCTTTGATGCCCCCAGGATTCAGTCTGACTTCCTCTCCTCATGCAGTGACCACTACCTACACTCTCTCTCTCTCTTTTTTTTTTGAAACAGGGTCTCACTCTGTCACCCAGGCTGGAGTGCAGTGGCGCAATCTCAGCTCACTGCAACCTCTGCCTCCCGGGTTCAAGTGATTCTCCTGTCTCAGCCTCCTGAGTAGCTGGTACTACAGGCGCCCACCATCATGTGTGGCTAATTTTTGTATTTTTAGTGAGATGGGGTTTCACCATATTGGCCAGGCTGGTCTTGAATTCCTGACCTTGTGATCCACCCGCCTCAGCCTCCCAAAGTGCTGGGATTACAGACGTGAGCCACTGTGTCCAGCCACACTGTCTCTTATGTTTTCTTTTTTCTGGGACTGGCTCCCTTCTTTCTTGCTCTCTCTGCAAACAACTGCAGAGACTTTTGGGAGTGGGAGACAGGGTCTTGCTCTGTCACCTAGGCTGGAGAGCAGTGGTGGTAATCATAGCTCACTGCAGCCTCGAATTCCTGAGCTCAAGGAATCCTCTTGCCTTAGCACCCCTGAGGAGCAGATGCATGCCACTATGCCTGGCTATTTTTCAGATTTTTCTGTAGAGACAAGCTCTCACTTTGTTGCTCAGACTTGTCTTGAACTCCTGGGCTCAAGCTCATCCTGGCTCAGCTTCTCAAAGTGCTAAGATTATAGGTGTGAGCCACTGCACTTGGACTTACAGAGGCCTTTTCAGTGTTCTACTGTGATTCACTACAGCAAGGAGGTGGAAGTGGAGATAAGGGGGGAATATGAGGCATAACCAAGCTGCAAAGGTTCAAAGAAGTTGCACACAGTATTTAGTCAATAGAGACATGTTAGCAAACTAAACCTATCTATTTTAAATAAACTCTTGAGGGCAGCCGTATATTTTTTTCCTTCTTGTGATTCAATAGCACTTTCTCCAGTTTTTTCACTGGGGATCATTGCACTCAATCTTTTCTGGGTTGGATACTAGGTCCTGCTACTCTGATTAGGCTCAAGGTAGGTATGGGTGCCATCCGGACTCGTGAGATTCTCGATCCTTACTTTCTTTGGTATGAGGCCCCAGGTGAGGGACTTCTTGTTTTAAGTGCCCAGAACCTTCTCCCCTGAGTGTCTAGCTGTCCTGCATGGGCTGGCCTGGCAGGCAAAGTTTGTCACACCTCAGCCCCTGGAGCAGTGTCTGTGGCTGTCACACCTCAGCCCCTGGAGCAGTGTCTGTGGTAGCCTTTCACCTCCCCACAGTGAAGTCCAGTCTCCCCATCCTTTGTTCTGAGCTCATGTCCAGGCTGATCAAGCTTCCCTCAGATTTCAGTTGAGAGCAGCAGTCTTCCTTTGCCTCTTCTCTTATTTTGGCCTGAGTAGGACGCAGAGTTTACAGCTTCCCTGAGGGCACTGGTGATTGACATGCCTGAGCTGATGGGCCATCCATGCATGAAACCCCTTCCATGTGCCTTTTCTGACTCTGTAAGGTGTTCCCTCCCTTTGTGTTGCAGAACTGTGGTTTCACAATATCAAACCATTTTAAACATGCAGAAGCAGTGAGAGCAAGGTACATTGCCCTCCAGTGGGACAGAGGCCCATGTCTCTAAATCTCCTAAGTGCCTAGACAAAGAGAGATCAGCGTGAACTGGAACAGTCAGGGGAGATTTTGTGGCATGTGTAGAGTTTAAGCTTGGACCTGATGTATAGAAGGGATTTTTGGACGGGCATGCGAGAGAATGAGAATTTGAGAACTGGGGGGTAAATGGGTGGTCAGGGGTGTTTATGGTTAGAGAGAATAAGGTTGTTTGAGAAGAGTGAGCCAAGGTGATGAGGGAATTATGCATCTACTCATATCAACTGTTGATGCCTATCAGAATCACCTGGGGAGCTTTAAAAACTCTTGGCACCTAAATTACACCCCAGAATGTCTAGGGGGTGGGAGCCATGTATCAGCGGTTTTTAAAAATCCCATGTGATCTTTAAAAGTTTGAGAATAATTTTTCTCCTTTGTTTCCTACAAGCATCTGAAGCTTTGCAGAAGGAGTTACAAAGCAATAGGACAAAAAGCAAATGAATTAGGAAGTAGGGAGGAAAGGTAATGATGAATTAAGGTTCAGATGAAGCCAGGGAATAGTCAGCTCATCATATACATTCTACGAGATGCTGTGCAGTTGCTACTATGGGCCAGAATTTTGATTCTGAGCTGCTTTGAAGCTAAAGCAAAAGGAAATTTGAGCAGTTCTGAAAGCCTGAAAGTGATAGGAACCAAAGAGTATTTCATGAGAAGCCGTGGGATGTGAGCAGAAAGACATCTCTCCCGAGGGCACCATGTGGGGCCGTGGAGAGGGCTTTCAACAGTGTCCTCACAATCCCATGGGCCATTTGCTAAATCACCCCTTAATGTTGGCTCTGAAAGTCATTCAAGTCCAGAATTAACTGCTCAGATCTCATGTAGCAAGAAAAGTTGACCGTACTTCTTAAATTCTTGATTTTTATCTGTAGCTAATTTAAAAATCCTCCCATCTCCCTGGCCTCCTGACTCCTCTTAAACTAATTAACCAGACTTGTTTGCTTGTAGATAGAGTGTCTGCATTTTGTCTTTGCTGTGGTCATTTCTTATTGTCCTGGCAATCAACTTGTCATTTCCTTCATTAGGCCAGGCGCTCGGAGGGACACTGCATTGATTAAGGCACAAACCAGCTTTAGCTTGTCATCGTTGTATGCTTAGAGCAAGTTCACCTGCTTTGGCCTCCACTCTGAGGGCGGAGTCGCCACACCTTCTAGAGCCTGGGTTCAGCCACGGGGCCCATCTGCCAGTGGAGGCACTGCCCCTGGGTCTGGTCTGTTGACATGGAGATCTAGGAGGCATTATTTCCTGCAGATGGGCAGAAGAGGCAGCTCTCTCCCCTCCTTCATCTCCTGTTCCCAGGCAGTTGGGAAATACCGATCTAGCCAGTCCTGTCTTCACCTTGGAACCAGTGTCTGGGGAGCATGCTCCAGCAGTCTGCTGCAATTGGCTAGTGGCCTCAAGTGGGCAGTGGGTCAGGTCAGGATGGGGACCAACTTGGCAGACAGCCATCAGGGTGGCCTCACGGAGGTGTGTGGCCTGCCAGGGAATGCATTCTCCACACACCTGGTTGGGCCTGGAGTGCGTGGCAGCTGAGTGTGCCGGCTGCTGGAAAGAGGGGTGCTGCAGCAGGGTGTGGGGGGCTCCTGGGCCGTGGGATTCTCTACGTGCTGTTCTGTCTCTTGACACATGAGTCTCAGGCTGTAGGTAATTTAAGTACGGGGCTGGGATGTGATGTGTGTATGTTTCTAGGGGCTTGCTTGTGTGACTTTCAGTCTGTGTGTGTTTGGGGCACACATACATGGAATAGTCCCTTAGCTACGGGACTGCCCAGGGTGGAGCTGCTGTGCATTTACGGTGGACTGGGGTGTGCACCCATGTGGGGAGTAGTGACCCAGCTGCCTGTGAGGGCCCTGGGCCTGGGGGTGCATGTGTGGGGTCTCTACCTCCGCCTGCTATCCCTGGGGCTGTGGGCTTTCCTGCTTTGCATCCTTGTGCTTCTCCGAGAGCTGTGTGTGTGTGTGCTGGAGGCAGGCAGGGCTGTGTTCACGGCGGCTCGCTCTGTGGCCCTTGTGGCCCATGCCTGTAGTGTCTACGTCTTCCTTCAGGGTCTTGCCTGCGCTGCCCAGCTGGTGGGGAGCTGGGTGACACTGCTCACATGGCTCTACTGTGCCTTGCTGGAGACCCTCAGACGCGTTCCTTTACTCCCGCTGTGTGAGGAGGTGGCCAGGTGGCTGGTGTGGGCTGGCATGCAGGCTGGCAGAGGCCTGGCTCGGGTGTGGGGTGTGGCGACCTTTGTGCAGCTGTGCACTCACACGGTCTTCCTGGGCATGTGCCTGTGCATGCACATCTGCTTTGCTGCCATCAGCTCTAAGGTCCGTGTGAGAGTGCACGCACCGTTCCGTGTCTCGCTGCCCTTCAGGGTCCATGCCCCCCTGAGCTTGGGCATCAAAGTGGGGCTGCAGGGCCGGAAGCAAGGGAGGGCCATTGGGGAGGCAAGTACACCTCAGAGGGAGAGGTTGGGGAAGCAGAAACCCCAGACATCCAGGAGCCCCAAGCCCACCAGAAGAAAGGAGGTATCACGGAGCAGGAGAGAGCTCAGTCCAGGTGGGTAAGGGAAGGGGCTGTTCTGTGCCCATTGGACTTGTCCCCAGCCTCAGGCGCTAGTGCCCTCTTCCTGCAGCCAGCCCAGGCTTGGAGCCTGGGTCTCCTCCTGCACAGCCAAGCCTGTGTGGTGGCCCCTCCCCTCCCTCACTGGGTACTGGCACCTCCTTCCTAAGCTGCGTGGTCTCTGGGGAAGGCACAGGCGGATGATGGGCAGATTTAAATCCTTGCCCTCTGTCCTCTTCGAATAGGGCCATTCATCCGGGAGCCTTTCTCCTCCTCTGCCCTTGCCTCTCTGCACACCTGCCTCCCTCTGTGTTTGTCCCTTTGCCTGGCAGCAGCTCCCTTCCTCCCCTTTCATCTCCTGACCTTCCTGCTGGGCTGTTTCTCTTCCAGCTTCTCCAGGTGTTCCTCTCTTCTCGGCCACTGTGGGGTCTGCCCTGGGACTCCCTCAGCCCAGGCTGCCTCTTTTTCTACCTAGCCCCCTGTCCGAGTGCGCCAGGTGTGCCTGGCCACGCTCTGCTCACCCTCGTGCTCTCCCTGCAGTGATCCCCAGCGCTGCGACCCTCATCATTGTGGTGTGTGTGGGCTTTCTGGTGCTCATGGTCGTCCTGGGCCTGGTGCGCATCCACTCCCTTCACCGCCGCGTCTCAGGGGCCGGTGGGCCTCCAGGGACCTCCAGTGACCCCAAGGACCCGGACCTCTTCTGGGATGACTCAGCTCTCACCATCATCGTGAACCCCATGGAGGTGAGAGGCCCCAGGGAATGGGGGTACATGTATGCAGAAAACACATGGCGAGGACTCCTGAGGAGGGGCAGGCCCTGGGTGGAGGCTGTGTGCAGAGCTGCTGTGAGCAGGAGGGAAAAGAGAGGTTCAGGAAGGGAAGAGGGTGAGCAGGGGTTCAAGGGACTGAGGGAAGTGTGGCCCCTGAAAGAGAGGTTGGGGGTGTGCAGGCCATTGATCCCTTTTCCTCTCTGTTGCCACCCTCCAGTCCTACCAGAATCGGCAGGCCTGTGTGGTGGGGGCTGCCGGGGGCCAGCAGGAGGACGAGGACAGCAGTGACTCGGAGGCAGCCGACTCCCCCAGCAGTGACGAGAGACGCATCATCGAGACCCCCCCACACCGCTACTAATGCGACACCTCTCCCCATGCAGAGGGAGAATTCTGCCCTGGTGAAACAGACACACCAGACATGGGAGAAGGACCTTCTGGGAGAACAGAGAACAAGAGGGAGAGAGGCTTCAGAACCAGTCCTCCTTTCATCTCAAAACCCCAGGGGGCCCTCTGGAGTCCACCCTGCCCCTCCCTGGGCCCCTATTCCTCACCTCTGGGCTGTGTCATGCTCCCAGTGTGCCCCTGGCACTGGGGCTGGCTGCATTGGAAAGTGGGCTGGACTTCGGCTGCTTTTCTAGCCCCAATGGCAGCTGCCTCCTTAGCACTCACTGTGTTGGGGAGGGGGTGACAGTCACAATGGCTGGGGCTGGGGCTGGGGCTCTGGTGGGGTTGAAGGAAACCCTCTCCTCTCCCTTCCCTTCTCTCTCCTGTCCATTGGAAGCCTCTCTCCCTCACAGGGCTCCCTCAGCTGGGCCATCCCTGCTTCTCTTATGAACCCCCACCTCGATTCCATTTCAGTCTGGGGACCCTCCCTCCTTCCCAACTTCCTTCCTTTCTTGTCCTCTTTCCCCTCCTGCCCTTGCAGTCCTGAGGTCCTGCAGCCCCAGCCCCTCCTCTGTGACCTGGTGTAGGCAGGTTTCGGGGACTGGAGGGAGTGTGAGGGCCCCGGGGGGAATTATATATAATGTATATTTTTTCAATGTTGTCGTGAGTGCAGCCCCTGTGTTCCCGTGTGCAGCTCATGGCCCTGTGTGTGTGTGTGTGTGTGTGTGTGTGTGTGTGTGTGTGTGTGTGTCATCGTCATGTCCTGGGGCAGGGGGTGGGGAGATGGGTGTGGTGAGGGAGGGGACATATCCTAGGGTTTTCAAATAAAACAATCAGAAAAAAAAAATCTCAGTGAGGCTCTTCCTGCCTGCCTGGTCCTGTGTTGGTGTGGGTGGAGGCTTTAGGGCCTCAGGGGCTGTTTGGGTCTCTGCTCAGGGCTGAGGTGAGGTAGGCAGGGCTGGTGATCTCAGGGTGCTGACCAAGTAAGTCTCCAGGATGCCAGGTCACCTGTAAAGTAAGCCGGGGGCAGATGGTTCCCATGCCTCCTTCCCTCAGCACCCCCTAGAAAAGTATAGAAGATTCAGGGAACTCCGTGGACACCTGGGCAGATGCTCAGTGTCTTGTAGGGCCACCACCAACCCCGCCCCACCACTTGGAGCATTTTGCCAGTGTACACAGACTGCCTGCCGGGCATCCCCAGGGAGAAGGCAGGCAACCCTGCTATTTGTACCAAAGGGATCTGGAGAATGTTCCTAGGCTGAGCCTTCCCTGCTGGCCAAGGCTCAGCTCTCAGACCCAGGGGATGTCTGCCTGCCTCCCCCATGCCCTCGTGGCTGCCTCACATGGCTGCTGAGTGGCCTCCACCCTCTCCACGCTGGCCCAGCCCCTGGCCTGACAGCAGGCAGAGTCTGGCCCTTCCACAGCCTTTTGGGCCACTGGTTAGTTTTCTGACCTAGGTCTTACTTAAGCCCCAGGTGGTAAAGGACGGTAACCAGAAGAAATTATTTCAGAAGAGTGAACTGCTGGTGGGAGCATCCCTCCGGTGCTGTCCTGGCTGGGAAACATACCAGGGATCCAAGTCGTGGTTCCTTCCTGCAGCATGAGAGGTTAGGGCATCCTTAGGCTCTTCCTGGTTCTCTGTGGTTGCCTGTAGCACAGTTGGGGTGAAGGTAGGTTCTCTGCCTGATGTCCATTCTGACACCTACCAGGTTCCATTGTCCTTGCCCATGGTGGCAAACTCCCAGCTATGTGTTGATGCCTTCATATTTTTATCTCCCACCTAGATTTCTTTCCTACTTCGTATTTACAACTACTTATTGGTATATCCACCTGCCCTTCCTGTGACTCAGACTCCACCTTTCCCCCAATTCTCTGTGACCTATCCCTATCACCTTTCACCCATTCGCCTATGCCAGAAATCTGGGAGTCGGTCTAGATTCCTCCCTCTTCCTCAACCCCAGGGCCAAATGGGGATGAAATCCTGTCATTCCTACTCCTTAAAATCTCTCCAATAGGTCTTTTGCTTTCTATTCCTCCTACTGCTGCCACCATCTTGACCCGCACCCTCTGTGATTTTGCCCGGTCTGGCAAGAGCCTCCCACCTGCCTCCCACCTGCATCCCACCTGCTCTCATCTCCTAGACCTTGCTCTATTCCAACACGTCCTTAGCTCTGGATCTCAGTGGCCTTTTCTCAAGTGCAACTCCACTTGTACCACTCTCCTGTATAGCACCTTCCCCACCTCCCTGTCAGGCCTGGGTTGAGTCCCGAAGCCTCAGCGGTCCCCTTAACCCAGGTGGAGCAGGTCCTGCCTTCCTCCTTCTCTGGCCTCTTTGCTGCCACCACTCCTGCACCGCTGTGGTGGGGTCACAGAAATCATGTATGCTTCCCACACGCACCCTGCTCTTTCTTGCCCCTGTGTCTGCATATATTGTTTCCTCTTCCTGGCATGTCCTTTACCCATCGTGTGCCTGGCAGTCTTCTACTATCACTGAAGACCCGGTTCAAGAGTTGCCTTTTCCAGGAGTTCTGCTGTGCTCAGGCAGCCCTTATTCATGCCTCCATGACAGTGCTGACTACAAGGCTGTGGGGCATGTCTGTCTCCCCACAGATTCTCTGTATCCCCAGCAACTTGCATAGGGCCTGGCACACAGCAGGGGCTCCGTCAGTGGTGAGTGAGGTGATGTGTATGGTTCTCAGGCTCAGAGAAGACTCACTGGTAGGAGGAGAGGAGATCTGCATTGGTGGCCCACTGCATGGGAGGTCCCGCAACTGAGCCTGGCCAAGCAGACACTCTGTAGCAGCCTTCAAAGGCTCAAAAGGTCACAGTCTTGAGACATCTGAGAGCTTTGGCTCTCAAAGAGGCTTGAGAGAGCGTTTTTATTAATAGTCTGTGGTCCTGAATTTCAGTGGGTGTTCAGCCCCCTCCTCCTCCGAGTCCTCACTCACCATGTCTCAGAGACACAGCTTCCCATGAAGAGGAGCAGAAGCCAAGTGGGTTCTACTGTTTGTGTGTGTGTCCTTGGAGCCCCCACACTGTTGTTGAGACTTGAGGCTCGGGGGTCCTTATTTGCCTCCAGTTCAAGTCTCAGGGGTAGGGGCGTGGGTGAGAAGGCAAGCTTACCATGAACTCTGCTTCCCTCTTGATGCACACACCCCTGCAGACCCCACAAGGTAGCATATGTCCTTCAGCCTTGACCTAGCTCTTGGCCTTCCTGGATTGGCTGTCTCTGGGGCTGGACATGGGATTTCTCTTGAATGGCTCCACTCTGCCTGAGATTCCTGGAAATGCTCTTCAGAATTAGAAGCTGTGACCACTGATTCTGTCTTCTGGTGTAACCTTTCCTGGCCCTCCTCTTCACCTTCAGTGTTTGACGCCCAGGTCTCAGCCCATGATCAGCATATCTCCCCATGTGACTACTGGGCTCATTGAGATGTCATGTGGGGTGGAGGTACACATGGGCACTGGAGGCCTGGAGAAGACCTTGAATTCCTTGTGCCACCACATGCCCTGAACTTCTGCTGTCACTTGCTGACTTCCCTTCTTCTCTCAATCTGCCTCTCTCTGACACACGCACACTCGAATACACACTGAACAGGGGATCAGGCTTGAGGCAGGAGGCCAGCTCCCGTGATGCAGGGAAAGGGCAGCAGGCAGGATTCTACATGGGTGTTTATTTTGTTGCTCAAGATCTCCTGGAAAGATGTTTCCTAATCTCCCTCAAAGAAGCTGGAAAAGCCTGGGGTTATCGGGCCCCACACAGGGTTTCCAACTCACCTATTCCCAATTTAATTTGAAACAGCAAACTCATTTCCCTTGGCATTACTCAAATTGTTCTTTCTGCAATGGATGGCTGTTTTTCTCTTAAGTCCACTCTCTGCAGTGAAAATTAATTAGCTTCTCAAAAGGTGCATGATGAAAAGCATGCCCTTGGGGAAAAGCGATGCTGTAGAGGCAGCTATAACCACCAGTTCAAGAACAAAGCGTGTCCTTCTTCCCGTCACCAGACTAGAGACCTGGAAACTCGCTTTTGTGCCGTCAGGGCAGCTGGACACAAATGCACTGGTGGTATGTAGAGGTGTGGCTCTATCCACTTCCAAAGTCTGCATTCCACCCTGCAGTCTTTGGGCTGATGCACCTCCACCCTGGGGGCTTCCTGGGGGCGGGCCTAGAAGGTCACATGTGCTCTCAGCCTTCTAGGTGCTGTGGGAGATCTCACATTCCCTTCAGATATTAGGTCCATGTCAGGGGCTCCCCAAAGTAGGTCCCCTATATCCCCAGACCGATCCCAACTAGGAGCTCTTCTGGACTGTGTGTTGACCCAGTGAACCTTTCAGACCCTGGGGTGTTTCCCTGAGGTGTCCATAAACATGAACTGGAGATGAGTGTGTCCAGTTTACTGTGCACTGTTTACTAAACTCTGCAGCAACCTGCCGGGGCTCGCAGTGTGCTCCCTCTGGCGGCCTCCCGGGAGAACGGAAGAACTTGAGGAAGGGAGACAGGTGTGGAGAGAGATGGATGAGCCCGGGCAGGTGGGCGTGTCTGACAGGCAGAGAGGAGGAGCCGACGCGCCTATCTCCACGGTGCTGACGTCACTGCCTCTCCTGCGGCACCACACTGCGAAGCGCTTAAAATACCCAAGTCCTACAGGAAGAGGACAGATGAGGCTCTAAATTTAGCGACAGTGGATAGGAGGAGGGGTTTGAAGACTCCGGGATGTGGTGGCTCTGGTGTTGTCAGAAAAGGAGTAGGAATCCTGTATTTCCTGGGTGGGGATTCTAATTCATAAGGATAAGGGAGCCTCTGTCCCAATATCCAATCTCAGCGACCTGACTCCAGTTTCGGAAGTTCTCACCCCAGTTGTGTCGCATATAACCTACTTCCTCCCCCATCAGAGGTGGTCTCTTCCCTTCCACACTTGCAGGTTGGGATTGTGCCACCCTTTCTCCTTGGGTAACAGTGTGGCTGGCTCTGGGGGAACAGGCTGTTACCAGGAGGCAAAAGCAGCATTTGAAAAAACCTCTGATTTTTAGTTAGGCCACTGAAAGGAGAGTAGTTTTCTGTCTATGGCACTACAGAGAGGGAAGATAAGTCCAAAGGCATGAAGCAGTGAAGCGAGGCAAGCACAATTTTTGGAGAACCACTGTGTTAAGCCCCAGGGTACCAGGCCCAAGGAGGATGCAGGCTGCTCATGCCACTTGCCCCCTGAAAGTCTAGCCCTCTCCCGGACCATTGGGCCACTGACCCTCTTCCTCAGGGACCTACTCTTGCTATGCCATCTTTTTGCTTTGAGGAAATCCCAAAGCACAGAGGGCCCCTCTTGCTGGGCGCAGTGGTGGGGAGAGGGTTGAGAATATGGACTTTGCTGTCAGTGCTGCCTGTGTTCAAATCCCAGGAACTTAGTGTTGAGTCTTGGTCTTCATCTTCTCTAAGGGTTGGATCATCACCTAAATGGGGAAATTACTTATTCAAGGGGTTGAATGAGACTTAAATAAGATAGTCATTCCAGCCCTCCCTTTTCTGAATAACTCAGAATTGACGTACTGTAATGTGTGTGGTACTTGTTAGCTGTCACTGTCACTAATTACAGGGAGGTAAACAAAACCATCCCTAGTTCCAGTGATGCTGGGGTCTTTAAATGCTTGGGGTTTTAGGGATGGCAGACTTCCTCAAGCTTCACCCATCTGAAGCCCACTCCACATGGGGTTGTGGTTTTGAACACATCCTTTGGAGCCAGACACACCTGTTTTTTTTTCACATTCGCAGCTCACAGAAGCGTATTGTGGCTAATGCCCATAGGAGAGTAACTATTTTTGTCATTGCCAGGTTGTTTTAAACAGGCGCAGTGTTAT